GGAAGGAACGCTGGCACTGGGGGTGGGAGGGAGCTGGGGTGGAATGTTGGGCCCCGAAGGTTCCGTGGCAGTTGGAAGGAACGCTGGCACTGGGGGTGGGAGGGAGCTGGGGTAGAATGTTGGGCCCTGAATGTTCCGTGGCAGTTGGAAGGAACGCTGGCACTGGGGGTGGGAGGGAGCTGGGGTGGAATGTCGGGCCCCGAAGCTTCCGTGGCAGTTGGAAGGAACGCTGGCACTGGGGGTGGGAGGGAGCTGGGGTGGAATGTTGGGCCCTGAATGTTCCGTGGCAGTTGGAGGGAACCAGGGGGGATAGCTCTGAATTGGGAGGGGAGGTGTTCCCAAGAGGATCTCGGTCTTAAGAAGTGATTCCCAGAATGAAAACGCATGAATCCCACTATGAAAACATGTCAAGGGACAAAAGATCAGTTCAACCATCTCACTGTATACTTTACACAAATAAACAAGATTGCACCGAGAACATACATATAATTGGTTTCTCATCCTAATGGAAACAACCCTGCAAAGTCCTGAATATGATCTAACCGACCAGGCCGCAAGACACAACATTGCCTTAATTCACACGAAAGGCCCCGTTTCCAATATCCTTCACCAAGCACAGAATCTGTGGATTGAGGCTGTAATATAACTGGTGTATGTTTACTAAACAAAGAAAAAAAAAAAAAAAAAGAGAGACGACTAAGAGGACCAATCAAGCACAAATATTCAACAGCAGCAATACAATTTCTTTCTACAGTATCCAGCACAGGACACTTCACAGCATTTTAAAAGCAACAACAGCCGGTGTTTGTTTAGTTTATATTACACCCTGCAAGGGGGGGGGGGTATATGAACAGATGGGCAGTAAGTTCTAAATTACATCTCAAGATGTAACATGGACAAAGTCCTACCGTTTTGGACTTCAAGGATATTAGGGTGTTAAAAATTCAGTCCAATATAAATACGTTTTATTTTGCCCTTCTCTAGTGCCTTTCATCAGAGATGCTCAAGGCCCTTTGCAAACATTAATAATATATGGAGATATACCTATCTCATAGAACTGGAAGGGACCCTGAAAGGTCATCAAGTCCAGCCCCCTGCCTTCACTAGCAGGACCAAGTACTGATTTTGCTCCTGATCCCTAAGTGGCCCCCTCAAGGATTAAACTCATAACCCTGGGTTTAGCAGGCCAATGCTCAAACCACCGAGTTATCCCTCTCTCCATTATTTACTTAAGCCTCACACCCCATCATGAAGTAAATAAGGGCCTTAAAATTAAGTAATAAAATTTCAAAATTAATATAGAATTGGATGAGGAGCCACTGTATGGCACTTAAAAGGGAAGTAATTTGACTAGTTACCTGCATAAATTCAGGCTGCTTAGTATCCCAGTGGTGCACATGATTTGGAGAGATAGTGAGGGTCTGGGAAACCTATTCATCTGTTTTCACTTTTAAACAAAAATGTTTTCTCAGAACTATTATCAAGGCAGCAGTATTTCGCCACGAAACTCGCATCAAATTACACTTTTCTGGAAATGTTGAGTTTAGTGAGAGAATAGCACAGCATTTAATGCAGTGGTTCCCAAACTGTGAGGTGAGCCCCCCTAGTGGGGTGCAGGAAGACCCAGGCCAGCCCCCACAGGGTGGGGAGGGAGTGCCACCCAGCTATGCTCTGCCCCCGACTCCGCTCCTGGCCCCGACCGCGGCTGCAGCCCCACTCCAGGCTGTAGTTCCAGCTGCAGCTTTGGGCCTGACCACGGCCTCGCTCCCCAGCCATGGCCCACGGCCCGGAGCACAGCACTGGCCCTGGCTCTGACTCCTGGTTGGCTGCAGTTCCACTTCCGGCTGTAGCACCCACAACCCCAGCTCCTGTCTGCAGCTCTGGCTCTGCTCCCAGCTCCCAACCACAGTTCGGAGGGTGGGGGGTGCAGATCAGTTAAGGGAGGATGTGAATGAAAAAGTTTGTGGACCACGGGTTAATGTGTCTGTTTGTATTGGAGGAGAATGCAGCTGCAGAGGTCCTTGTGTGAACATACCTCATAGAGCACATTTTGTGTCTTTGAATTGTAACACCGGTTGGTTGTCTAGGAGTCCCAAGGTCTGGCAGAATAGCCACTTCAGGATTATAGAGCTGGAAGAACATCTTGATTCCCTGTTAAGCCAGCATGAGGCAGCCCAAGCTCTTTCACTGTGGCACCTTAGTCAGCCTTTACCATGGAATTACGGGTTATCCCCTCAACCGCACACATAACTGGCCATTTACATCGGTGGAGGTTAAATATGCTCAAGCAACCAGATGACTGAGCTCAATGTGTTCTTGCGGTCCTTTTAATTCAAAAGTGGCAGTTCTCTCACTCCTCGAACTTTTAAAGATATTTTTGAAAAGCTTATTTTTTCCACACAAGTTTGGAAAACAAGGTCTTTTTAGCACATGTTCATTTTGCTGTAGGCTTAGTTTCAAACATCTGCCATTTGAGCAGATCCAGACAGATGGAGTGATCTCACTCAGGGATGCACTGAGGTCCAATCTATGCTGTAGCTCTTCACCCACTATGCCAGCATGTTTTGAGGGGGAGTTTTAAAACCCATTTTATAGCTAAGCTTTGGTTTCAGTTCTGCATTTTGGTACCCTTTAGCTTTAACAGGAATTGTGTCCATTTAACTGAGGGAAGAATTAATGTCTGAGATTAGGATCTCAGAGAGCGGCTCTGGGCACAGATGAATGGGAAAAGCCAGTTTCCAGGAGAACTCAGAGGAATGACAGTTGAAGTTGGCCCAGTGTGCCAGAGTCATGCCTGTGATTTTTAAGAGTTCTTCCTTTTTGCTGACTATTAGAGTGCGGCGACGACACAGGAAAGGAAATAGAACACCAGGTTTCTGGTAGCTAGAGAGCTTTAAAAGCCTCAAGCAAAAAGCCTCCCAGGAAAACTTTTCCTGGGGTTTTTATTCTTCTCCTTACTTTGTTTACAACTCTTCTTGGTGGTTACATTTTTGTGCATGAAGAAGACATGCAGTGTACAATTACATAAGATAGCAAACCCATTTTTTGTGCACGTGAACACCAGCTGCAAGGGTGATGTTAGGTTGCCAATAAGTTTTTCAAATACAGACACTGGGACAAGGTTACTC